TGCCTTATACATTTTATTAAAAAATGGATTGCTAAAAAAGCCTTATAACGTTTTGGGGGCTAAGACGTAATACCGTATGTCGTGAAAAACAATTGACATGCCATATGACATGTTAAACGTAATGAATCAACAGTATGCATTAAGTATAAACACATAATATAACAAAATAATATACTAGATACAGAAAGCGTATAAATTATAAACAACACTTGAGGTTGCTGATTCTGGGCCCATACTTATACAGACAGATTCTTGACCGATTCATGGTTTAGGACACCAAGCACAGTACATGGTAAAACCTTTATTGCCAACGCGTTTCACTGCACAGACCGCAGCATCATCAAGGATGGACTGAGCACAAATGGCTTTTTGAAGGCACGTACATCCAACAAGCAAACAATACCATCGCTCATACTTTACCACAAAACGAAATTACATTGCTTGACCAGAATATTAACCAAAAACGAGCCTTTCACTAATAACCACGGAAAATATGTATTCGTTGTACGAGCGGTTTTTCATTGTTAGTGTATGCAAGGACTAATTTATCAGCAGACCTAATTTAGATTTGTCTTTGTCCATAAGAGACACGTTGGTCTGACTGTATTGATCATATGTCGAACAATAATGGAATTGTCAGATCAGACTTCAGCCCCTGATGCTGCTACGGTCTATGTAGTGCAACGCATAAACTGGCATAAACAATTTTGCCATCGGTTGCATTTGATACTCTGAACCATCAATCGTTCAACCACCTATCATTATATATAATACAATCTATACTTTGTGCATACAGCACATTACATCTTATACTCCGTATAATTCACACATAGAATACACACAGAATGTACATACAGTGCATTACACAGTATACCATACATACACTGTGAATACAATTTACATTGTATATAATTCACGTACGTAATGCAAATAAAATATACTTACAGTGTTATACAAATGCACTTTATGCATCGAATACATTATGTATATACAGCATACTACAGATACTTTGCGCTTATAGTGCGCCATATACTATACTGTATATAATTCATGTAAATAAACACAGAATGTACATTCAGCGCAATACAGTATATACCGAAGAGATAATGTACCATGTATATGTTTACACAGTATACCATAGATACTTAATGCATACACAATACCATATATTTTGTGGAATAAAATTCATGTATTTATTGCATATTAAATTAGTATTTATTTTTACATCTATTGCAGTGTAAAATTAATGAACTATGTGCGTGGAATACGTATAATGCATTAAATTCGTAATGCAAACAGCACGACATTTATTGTACAAATTCCAGTATATAATGTACATAAAATGTAGAGTGTAAAATTAATATTCTACTTCCAAACTGAGCACATACAGTGTACAAGATACATCATCATTCATTGCCCGTTTGCCTTTCGGATCGCGGAGGCAGACGCATCAGACAAAGCTTCCAACGTTCCCGATCTTGTGCCAGAGTCTGAGTTTTGCAGAAGGCAACTGGAGTTCTGGAATAGACTCATTCCATATTTTTGCACCAGGTTAGTCTTGGCCGTCCCCTGAGCCTTCTACCCGCCGGACTGGCAAGAAACACTTGCTTATCCTTCCTTTCGGGAGGCATTCGCAATACACGCCTAACCCATCGCAGTTGTGACCTCTCAATCTGATTTCGTCTACTGAAAGAATAATTATTTGCCTATGCTGGTCTTCAGCCAAATCTTCTTGCTGCTGCTCGAGCTTAAGGAGTTCTTCAAAGTGCTTTTACCATCGCCGAAGTAAACACTGTTCCTTAGCAAGAGTGCCAAGACTTGTCGTCTTTCAAGTCTCTCAGGCTAGCCTTCCATCTATCTCAGAAGCGGCACATGGTCTGCCGGAATATCTCGTTTGCCACCAACAAATTCGGCTTTAGTACCTCACCGAACTTTTCCAGGAATCAGCTCTGGCTTCGGCCACTGGTTTCGCTGCAATCCTGCA